TTTTTTTTGTTTTTTTTTTTTTTTGGCATCGGGGATTGAACTCGGGTCCTTGCGCTTGCAAGGCAGGCAGCAAAACCACTGAGCTAAATCCCTGACTTTCTGTTTTTTGATATAGTGTTCAGTTTCATGTTAGTAAGTTTGCCTGACTACAGGCTAATGGGTGTGTCTTGAGTACATTTATGATAGGCTACCTAAGCTATGAGGTTATAGGTGTTAAATGCATTTTCAACTTAGTATATTTTCATCTTGTGGTGGGTTGATGGGGCTGTAAGCCCACTGGAAATCAGAGCATCTGTCCATCTTTTAAAAGTGGATTTGGGTTTTCCTTTGTGAGCAGATCAGAGGTACCCAGCTTGTACTCTTTTCCCAGTATGTTTCCCCGGGTTTAATTTGTATAACAAAGAGCAGGGATTGAGGGATGCTCCAGAGTGAGTGTGTCCCCAGGAGAACTAGCAGGTGTCAGTGTCACCCCGAGAGCACTCTCAGGGCAGTCTCTGTCCAGCCCCCTGGCAGTTTCTGCACTCAGCATGTGCTTATGTCTTCCCAGCTGATCAGCGATGGCAGCGTGGTCTGCGCAGAGGCCCTGTGGGACCATGTGACCATGGACGACCAGGAGCTGGGCTTCAAGGCTGGTGATGTCATCCAAGTCCTGGAAGCCTCAAACAAGGACTGGTGGTGGGGCCGGAATGAGGACAAGGAAGCCTGGTTCCCCGCAAGCTTCGTCAGGGTAAGGGTGTGGCACTCAGTGCTCTTCCAGATCTGTGGGAGAGTGGCAGAATCATCTCAGGAACTCTCATCCACTAGTTTCAGTTCTTCTGTGATCATTTTGAATCCCACCTGCGAGCCAGACTTGTAGCACAGTCCGATGGTCCACAGTAACAGGGGTCATTGTGAAGGCAAACGAGCTATCTGGCATTGCTGCTGTGGCTGTGCCCGGAGTGTTAACATGTGTGCTGTGGCCAGGCTGTCTCTCTGACTTGTTCTGGAGAAGCAAGAGCCAGGGGTCTCCCACCTTTTCTTTTGGTGCTGCCTCTCTGTCCCCTGAGTCACCTGTCACCTGCCCCTGTGTGTGGCCTGCAGCTTCGTGTCAACCAGGAAGAGCTGTCGGAGAATTCCAGCAGCTCCCACGGCGAGGCGCGGGAGGATGGTGCCGGCCCCAGCCACCACAAGCTCTCTGAGAACAAGCACCAGATGCGGACCAACGTTATCCAGGAAATCATGAACACCGAGCGGGTGTACATCAAGCACCTCAAGGACATCTGTGAGGTGAGGCTCTGGCCTGGACCTCCCCAAGTTCTGGAGCCCTGGTGGCTCAGCAAACCCGAGCATTCTTCCTTGGTCTGCTCCTCAGCTATCCTCCACTGCCCTCCTTTCTCTCTGCACCTCCGCTCAGTGCATGGAGCCCCTGTGCAAACTCGTTTGCCATTGCTCAGTGTAATCACTGCAGCCCTCTTCTAAGGACACCGCAGTTCTTTCAGGATGAGCCCCTGATTCTAAGAGTGATTCCCATACAAGGCAGCATTGCTTCAGTGAAACCCACTTGATTTGACAGTCAAAGGTCATCACTGACTCTAAAATCTCAGCATCTAGTCACGGACTCACAATCAAGATGCTGAGTCACTTAGAAACATTCAAAATATTAGTTTTATTTGGTAGTAACGAAGTATCCAGTATCAGGTCAGTCAGCAATAAATCGTATTCCAAGGTTGTGATTTCAAAGAACTGCCCTGAGTGGGGTTTGTTTTTCTCTTCTGTGGTATAGGGGATGAATTGAACCCAGGGCTCTCACAGACTTTTTATTTTCTTTCTGAAGTGAGGTCTTGCTAAGTTGCCCAGGCTGGGCTGGAACTAGCAACCCTTCTGCCTCAGCTTTTCATAAAGCCGGGATTACTGGTGTGTGCTCCATGCCCAGCTGTGTTTTGTTTTTAATGAACCTTGTCTGTGCATTGCACTGTTCTGGGGCTCTCCTGGCATGACAGGTTGTGAAGGTGTACACTGTCTGTTGAGCATTCTACACTCATGCCAGCCACTTATACTGTATCAGTTGATGATAAAGAAGATCATGACAGTGGCATTTTAGAAAATTCAGACTGATTGCTGATAATTGCTGCACATTGGCTGTGTACCATCCCTTTACCTGGTGTAATGCAGTGATCACCAGCTTTCTCAATGGCCAGATGCTTTCTTTAGTCCTTATTGCAGATGAGGAAACTGAGGCAGAGCAGTATGGTTGGTACTTAAACCTAGGCAAAGCCCATATTGTTACATTGTATTGTTTTCCTGTTCAAATTCATACCAAAAGTCTGTAATGTATATTTAATTAAATGGTTAGTTTAGTTTGTTCAAATACATGATGCCATTTTGGAAGTAACTATTAACAAACATGTATGGCTGTTTCTTTCTGTCCTACTAACTCCTGCAAAGCCATAGCATAACCATGGTGTGGTACACGGAGCATTAATGAGTTAAGCCTCTGGTTAGAGATGTACGAAGTAGGGCTGGGGCTTTGGCTCAGTGGTTCTGCTCCTTGCCTTGCAAGCTCAAGGTCCTGAGTTCGAACCCCAGTACCCCCCCAAAGAGAGAGAGAGAGAGAGGGAGGGAGAGGGAGAGAGGGAGAGATATGTAGGCAGCTGTGCTGTGTAGAGAGGCAGGTGATGTGGAATCTTCAGGGTGGAAGTTCTTGACTCTTTGCCATGATTAGCAGTCAGCAGAACTGCATTCACCATTTGGTGAGTAGTGATGTTCTGTGTTTGACAAGTCTTCTCGGCTGTGAAATGACAATAGAAATGGGAGAATGATCATCTTAACAGTCTAGAAAAAAAGTGGCAGTACTAATTTTTAGCTCTGGTATTTAAAATTCTGGCATTTGTTACTTGTTCCTGGAACTTTTTAAAACCTAACCATGTTAAATTTTTCACTTTTGTTTTAAAAATATTTATGGCAAATTATAGTAACAGAAGTGTGATTGTCTCATCAAGGACTCATAGAATTAAAAGTAATCTTCTCTAATTAAAATCCACTCCAAGATCATAGCTTTGACCCTCTTAGCCTTCTATATTATTAAAGTAAGTTTTAAAATTTTCCAGATAAATAAAAAGTTTGCTTTTGTATTTTTGCAGGGCTATATTCGACAGTGTCGCAAGCACACAGGAATGTTCACTGTTGCACAGTTAGCTACTATTTTTGGAAACATTGAAGATATTTACAAATTCCAAAGACAGTTCCTGAAAGACCTTGAGAAAAAGTACAACAAAGAGGAACCTCACTTAAGTGAAATAGGATCCTGTTTTCTGCGACATGTATGTCCCCGTTGCATCTTCCTTAGTAACATCTTGTTGAATAATGATTTTAAATGTAACTTCATTACAAGCAAGAATCTATTCTGTAGTTTTTTGTATTGGCTCCTTACTGCCTTGGGAGAAATGGCTGTCTTTCCCCTTTGACAGATAAAGAAACAAACCAGAGCAAGTGGCCCATCATTTACTGGTGACCATTACTATTTAACACTAAAAGATTTCTGAGGAAGGTGCTTTTATTTTGCAGCCACAGTAGTCATGGAGTAATCATGATGACAGTGATAGCAGAACCCTCTTCACTTGCTGGGTGCTGGTCTCAGTAGCTTTCTAGAAGCAGCAGATCAGAGCTGGCAGGAAGATGGGCATGCAGGTCCCTGGGGTACGTGGGGGGCACTTGGAAAGCGCTATGTAGTAGAGCAGCATTGTTCTTTACAGAAGTGGTAGGGAGTAGCTTCAGAGGTGAGTGAAGACAGAAAGCAGGCTAGTGAGTAGCCCAAGAACAGCAGTCCCTGAATATGGAGTGTGGCCACTGCCAGGAGGATGCTAAGCTGGGGCTGGCCAGATGATGGGCCAGAAGACTGGAAAACAGATTGTTGAAATGGGTATTTTTGAGGAAAGTCTGACAAGATTGGTTGTAGGCATCAAAGGAAGAGCAGCAGTCAAAAGTGCCTATAGAGCTGGTCTGACCAAGAGAAAAGTCGAGGCCCCTTCATCTCAGTGACCTCACTGGGCACAGGAAATATCCATTGGGAGTGAACTGGTTTGGACTGGAATAGTCTCCCTGTGGGCACTTGGCACAGTTCACTGTGCATGTCTACAACCTCACTACAAATAAACATTGAAGATTCTTTTGACACAATTTTTTAAAAAGTGCCTATAGAATTTTGAGGAATTAACAGGTGGCTTGGGAAAGTCTGTATTCTAAGAAATAAAGGCTTGGTTTTAGACCTGCTACATTTGAGCACACCCAGCCTGCACACTGGGCAGGAAGGAAGGGCAGCTGCAAAGAAAGCTGGAAGTGAGTGAGTGACCTAGTGGCCCAGGGTGGGAGAAAGGCAACATTCAGGGACATGGAGCAGTGCCCAGGGATGGGCCCTTGGAAGCTGATTTCCGTCCAGCCTTGGAGAATGGAGGAAGGAAGGAGAGCACACAACCCAGGGAGGGAGGAGGGAATACTCAGCTCCAGGTTCAAGAGAGCAAATGACCTTCACTTGGAGACAAGAGGGTGACAGACATGGAAGTCAGGCCCACCTGGTAAGCTCGACAGGAGACCTGCAGGAAGGTGCAGGATGCAGAAGGTGCAGAACGGAGCCAGGAGTGGAAGGGAACAGGTCCTGAGAGCTGGCCTCTGGGCAGCACCTTTCTTCTCTCTTCTGCTTCAGATCAGAGCTGCTTGAGTCTGGGTGGTGGAGCACCCAGCTCCTTCCACCGACCAGCAGAGAACCCAGATGATTACTCCTCGAGCCTGCACTTGGGCTCCTTTCTCTTGTCCAGGCCTGAAAACCCGGCAGAGTAGCATAGTCCCCTGGGATTTCTTGGCCTGTCCTGCTGTAGAGCACCCCTCCTTTCCAGGAGCAAGCCCTTTGATGGCCCAGTGCTGCCCACGACCTGACATGAGCTGATTTCCCTTCCAGCAAGAAGGCTTTGCCATCTATTCCGAGTACTGCAACAACCACCCTGGTGCCTGCTTGGAGCTCTCCAACCTCATGAAGCAGGGCAAGTACAGGCACTTCTTTGAGGCCTGCCGCCTGCTGCAACAGATGATCGACATTGCTCTTGACGGCTTCCTCCTCACACCCGTGCAAAAGATCTGCAAGTATCCCCTGCAGCTGGCCGAGCTGCTCAAGTACACCACGCAGGAGCATAGGTGAGGGCTGCCAGGGACCCACCAGTGCTGCCAGAGTGTCAGGGACAGGTGGGCTGGCCTGGCACGCCCAGCACTGCCAGGCAGCTCAAGGGAAGAAACTTCCAGATTGTTTACAGGGTTAAAATTGTCAACTGCTGAAGTGCATTATTTGAGGAGACTCCAGCAGAGCTGTCTCTAGAGATATGAAAACATTAGGATAGAGCTGGGCATGGTGGCACACACACATAACCCCAGCACTCGGGAGACTGAGGCAGAAAGATCACCATGAGTTCAAGGCCAGCCTGGGCTACATAGTGAGACCCTGTCTTACCCCAGAAAAGAAAGGGGAAAAAATGTCATTACAGTAGTTTCCTCCTTTACTAGAGGGATTACCTTCTGAAACCCCGGAATATGGCTGAAACTGTAGGTAGTACAGATGGTCCTTGTTAATGACTGAGTTCTGGTCCTATAATTAGGCTGTTAAATGAATTGAGAGTTCTATGTAGGATCTACATTACAATATTCAAAACAAAGAGATGGTCAAAGGAAACTCCAACATGATGACTTTGCCTTTATTTGCATAACTCTATTACAGGTAGGTCATTAAATAAGGAATATCTGTACTGAACTCTATTTATACTATGTTTTGTTCTGTACATTCATACCTGTATTAAAGTTTAATTTATGAATTAGGCACAGTAATGGATTAAGAACAATAACTAATTATAACATAAAACAATTATAACGAGGCACTGTAATGAACAGTTTAAAACTTAGGAATCACTTCTAGAATTTCCCATTTAGTGTTTTCTAATTACAGATGACCATAGGTAACAGAAACCATGAAGACAAAACAGGATGAGGGAGGCTGCTATACCAGATGGGTGGTCACAGTTTCGCCCTGCAGCCTGTAGAGGGTGGGCAATTTTTTTGTCCCTCTGAGCCTTAAGCTCCTATGGAGAGACCAGGCTTAGAGAGGGAATCTTTCACTATACACTGCAAGGAAGAAGAGCAGGCCACTGAGCAACAGACCCTAGATTTGGGGGTTCATTTAAAAATTTAGGACTGAAGGAAGAAGAGAAAAGTGTCCATTGAAATAGATGAGAGGAAAAAAGCTCTCTCCCTTCTTCCCTCCCTCTTTCCCTCCTACTGATAGAAAAATCAGAAAACATTTTCTGTGGGAAAAATTAGGGAAGTTGGATTTGTATATATTTTTTTAAGAATGAAAAGACCTCATAAATGCAAAAAGAAAAATAAAACATCATGGTAGAAACCAGAAAACAGAATAAGAGAATTTAATGTTCTTGCCAGCCTAGCAGGGGTTCAGAGGCAGCTGGCAGCAAGACACACGGATTCTACCCATTGTGAATGTGTTAAGAAGTAGGCTTCCTGAAAGACACAGGCAGCTTAGTGTACTCCAGATGGTAAGCGATGGCCAGAGCTTCACACACCACTCAACAGTGATTTTTCTCTACAAGGCATTTTTCACTGTGAGCATTTTGTAGATTTGGGCTATATCAAATAATAATAGCTTTAAAGGAAATGACAAAAGGCTCATTTCCTTCTTACATAGAACAGAACAAAAGTTGCAAAAATGTATATTCTCCTCATGTCTGGGGTCATACCAAGAATCTTTTGCTTTCTTTCTTCATTGCTGGAGGCTTCCTGTTTTGTTTTGCTCCTGTTTCTTGCTCCTGTTTTTCTGGGTCATTCTCCATGTATCACTTTCAACCTCCTTTCTGCTCTGCTTTTGAATGAATAAGCTGTGTAAAAGTGGCAGGGTCTTCTTGGTGGGGCCATGCCAGGGGCCCCCAGGAATCACCACGGAGCCAGGTTCAGCTGTATGTGGTAGAAGGATGCAAGCATCCACTTTGAAGACTTTCACCCAGCCTGTACAGGAGGATTTTCATTCAGTGCGTGTGAGACCCCATGCCTCTGTCTTATACTTTGCTATAGGAAAGTAAAACTTTAGCCCATTTTAAGCTGTTAGTTTCCACATTCCCAAATTATTAATTTGAGCAAAACCTGAGCATAACACTTCCAGACACTGGTGTGTGGATAAGAACTGTGTGTTCTGTGTTTGGATAAGAACTGCAGTTTCAGTTTCATTATTTTTTCCAAAATTTTCAGAACTTGTGCGGTCAGAGGATGCTGAGGGAAACTTTTTTTTTTTTTCTTTTTTGTGAGACAGGGTCTTGCTTATATACTTCAGGCTAGCCTTGAACTCACTGTGCAGTCCTGGCTGGCTTTGCACTCATGGTGATCCCCTACCGCAGCCTCCAAGTGCTCGGATTACAGTCAGGGCCACCATACCTAACTTGGAGAGGACGTTTTACTTTGACTTTACTATGGTGTCCAGAAAACCCCAGAAATGAAGGGTGTTGGTAATACAGATGCCCTCTTAGCAAGGATATAGCTCACCACTTCAGACTGTGTGACTTGTGTTCTCTTGTGTCCCTTCCTGAGCCAGTGAATGATGAAACTTGCTTGATACAAATACTCTTGAAATGAATAGTGATTTTTAAAGTACTTTATATAGCAAAACCGGTATGGCAGAATCAAAGCAATAAAGACCATTCTTTTTGTATGAACAAAAATAATCCATAGTCACCATGACTAAAACTTCATTTCTTATCCCATCCACTTTCAATCATTGTGATTTCTGGGAAAGGAATGAAGATATTCTTATTCCAAAGCATTCTGAATTGCATTCTGTCAGCTCCTTAACCTCAGCAGACTGTAGCCTATTCAAAGGGAAACGAGGGAAAGGAAACAATGGCTGTTGTTCAGAAGCTACTTTGTCTAGGCCAGCAATATACAAACCAGTGTGTGTTATACAATCAAAATTAACCTCCATTTTGCAGTGATTACAACAATATCAAGGCAGCCTATGAGGCCATGAAGAATGTAGCCTGTCTGATCAATGAGCGCAAACGCAAGCTGGAGAGCATCAACAAGATTGCTCAGTGGCAGGTGTCCATCATCGGCTGGGAGGTGAGCAAAGTTCCACACACACGCACACACACACAATCCAGTGCTGCTCACCACAATCTGCACTTTGACCATCCGTGGACACACTTTACCACCCTGTTAATGGTCTGTGTGTTTGGAAGCATCTTGATAAATGAAGCCATCCGCTACTTGCCACCCATCCAGAAGGTGCCCCCATCGTTAGCGCACTGTTTAGCCTCTGTCTCTGCCAGCATGGAGAAACATCTCTGCGGATGCAGGGCTGGTGTCAGTGCAGCCACGGGACACACCCATGTGTACATGGCTGCTTCCGCCTGTTGTGTTTGCCACGCGTCTGGCACGAGTCTGTGCCAAGCAGCATGCCCACAACAATCCTGGGAAGTAGGTGGGCCCTGTTACTCTACTAATTTAGCTGACTGAAAAAATGAAGCACAGAAAGGTTTAATAGTTTTCCCAGGGCCACATAGCTAGAAGGTCCCAGGACTGAGTTTAAACACATGCAGGCAGCCTAGTTTCGGAGTCCACCTTGGTACACTGCTATACTCCATCACTGAACTAAGAATGAGCAGATGCCTTTTTGTTTGTTTTCTTTTGGTTTTTTAAGACAAGATTTCACTGTGTAGTTCAGGCTGGCCTTGAACTCACTGTGTAGCCCAGGCTGGCTTCAAACTCATCCTCCTGAGCACTGGGATAACATGTGTGCACCACAACGCCCAGCTTCACATTGTTTTTAGACCAAGTAAACCCCCCACCCTGCTACTGGGGATTAAACCCAGGGCCTTCAAACTGAGCTATATCTCCAGGCCTCTTTTAATTTTTTTTAACTCTTGAGATAGGCCTTGCCAAGTTGCCCAGGCTTGTGCTTCTTCTGCATCCCTCAGATTACAGGCGTGCACCACTGTGCCTGGCTAGAACAAGGCAGCTTTGTCCCATGTTCATTGTAGGGCAGAACTGACTTTCCCAGAGGAGTAAGAAGTCAGAATTTTAACTGAAGTAGATTAGAGCAGTGAAAGTTGGAGAGAAATGCTTATATTTCAAGGATCTTGCGGGCTTCTAGAGCTCAAGTGGACCTCGGAGTTCACTGGGCCTCACTTCCTTATTCCATAAGTGATGAATCTGGGGCACAGAATGGCTGCAGGTAAGTAAATAGAAGAACTGTTTTGAAGTCAAGCCTTTTTTTCCTCCAAAGAATATTGTTTATGATTGGCATTAAAGTAGAATACAGTCTTATCAAACAAAGGTGAAAAGGTAACATTGGATTAGATCCGGTGTAAATTCTCTTAATTCTATTTTGCTTTCCCATCTTGGACTCTGACATTCTGATTTCACCATCAGAAGAGTATTCTAGTTTCTTGCTGGCAGTTTGCTACTTGGCCTTTGGTTTCCAACATACTAACTGGTTGTTATTCCAGGGAGCTGCTGTGTGCCTGACTCACAGGCCCGTGTGTAGTGCTCTGTGTCGATGGCAGTAAAACCCTCTCAGTGATTCCTTACTCTTAGACCTCAGTCTTGGTCAGCTACCAGTTCAGATCTTAGCTGGACTTCATTCATTTAGCACCCTTTTCACCATAGGTATAGGTGGAATGATGTCTCAAGTAAAAAAGAAGTACTATAACATTCTCCCACTGAGTAGGGAAAAAAGAAAAGAGAACTTTTGTGGGTAAGGAGACCAGGAAACTGGGTTCAGAATGGCCTTTGAGGTTTTGCCCACCTGTGCCATGGAGTCAGCAGTGGTTGGTGTCAAGTGATTGGAAAATACAAGGAAGATTGTCAGGGTCTCTTCTGTATCCCTGACACCTGCTGGAGTCAGAACTGGGAGATCTACAACATGTCTTCATCTTTCCAGGGCCTCAATATTCTAGACCGGAGCTCAGAGCTGATCCATTCTGGGGAGCTGACCTGGATCACCAAGCAAGGCAAGAGCCAGCAGAGGACGTTTTTCCTGTTTGACCACCAGCTGGTCTCCTGCAAGAAGGACCTGCTACGCCGGGACATGCTGTACTACAAAGGCCGCATGGACATGGACCAGGTGGTGATTGTGGACGTGGAGGATGGGAGGGACAAGGACTGGAACCTCAACGTGAGAAATGCCTTCAAACTCATCAGCAGGACTACAGATGAGGTACACCTGTTTTGTGCCAGGAAACAGGAAGACAAGGCCAGGTGGCTGCAGGCCTGTGCAGATGAGAGGCGGCAGGTGCAGGAGGACCGGGAGATGGGTGAGCACCCTGGGGCCTTTGGGCCCTGGCTCAGCACCTCTGCTTTTTAACCTTCTCCTCCACCCATGGACCTCTCCCTCAGCGCTGAATCCCACCACTAGGCAAAAGAGAAAGATCTGCAGATCCTGAGTGCTTCTAATCTCAATTCACAAGTCAGACCATGACAGGTGTAGTTCCTGCAGTCAACATTTGTTCAGTATTGACTTATGCCAGTTACCCTGCTGCACATTCAAAGAGATTATCTCTGTAAAACCCTTATGGCATGGTTACTATTAGGAACACCCATTACAGATGAGAAATGAGCCTTAAGGACTGGCCCACTCTTAACGTGACCTAGTAGCCTTAAACTAGTCAATGTGACGTCAGTGACTGAGTCCCAGGACATCAGGCACACCAGATGATTCTGGGGCCTTCCCCTCCAGCAGCACTTTTCAGAACCCTTCCAGTTCACCTTGCTGTCTCCATCAGTTCAGACACAGTTGAGCTCACGTTCCCATCTTCGTCCACGGAGCTCAGAACCTTGCAGTAAATACCAAACTGAGGCAGTGCTGCCTCACTCTCAGGGTCAGCTTGAGCAACCCCAATCTGGAAATCCAAGTCCTAAATGCCTGTCATCTCAGCCCTGAGGAGCCTGAGGCAGGAGGCCAACCTGGATTAGCGAAGCCCTGTCTTAACAAACAAGAAAAAAAAAAAGTCAGAAACTTTCTGAGCACCAAAATGGTGCCAGAAATGGAAAAATGCCACATCTGAGCTCATGTGACAGATGGGGCCCAATCACAATTCAGGCACACTAAAAATATGGTATGGAACTATGTAGGTGAATTTGGCATTCAGGCTTATACAATCCCCAGGTGCTGCATTATGTTCCTGCCAACATCCCAGTCATGCATGAACGATGGCAGCATCTCAGTCTGTAATCCCCAGTTCCACAGATCTCGAGGTAGAAGTCATGGTGCAGTAGGGACCTAGAGCCCCAAGGGTGAGAGGGAGGGAAAATATTGGTCTTGCCAGGCATGGTGGCATGCCCCTGTGATCCCAGTGCTGAGGAGCTTGAGGCAGGGAAATCACCATGAGTTTGAGGCCATCCTGGGCTACATAGTGAGTTCAGGTCCAATCTGGACTACACTGCAAGACCCTTGTCTCCAAAACAAAATGAAAAATATATTGGTCTCTGTCTCCTGAGCCAGCCCAGACCTCAGTGGTCACATGGTCCAGCATGGAGGAGCAGTCCCCACCCCGTCCTCAGGCACTGCTGGAAAGACTGAGGATAACAGGAGACTAGGAGGAGCTTTAGCAGTCATCCGTGTGGCCTGTAACTAGTCACCAGCTGGAGGTAGCCCAGTGGGCTTTGTTTTCATCCACCAGAGGTAGCGGGGTTTGTAGAGCAGGCTAGCCAGCTGTCAGAGCAGGTGTGTCCCCAGAGGGCCTCTGCATACAGGGACTCCACAGGACCGCTCTGGCTCCCCACTCCCGGGGTGCTGGGTGCCCTTTAACTGGGAGAACACCTGACTTCAGCAGCCCATGTCTGGCTCTGTTGGAATAAGGTTCATCACCCTATCCTGTACATGGTTTTTCAGGCAGGTGCGGAGGACAGTTCTTAAAATGCAAAATGACAGCCACAAAAATCCCAGTTGTCCTCATCACATCACATAGGCTGGTACAGGTCCTAGAGTCACTTGTAAGAGGAATGATTAGGTTTTGATTTCCTGGAATTGTTTTTGACTCTTATGGGGCATTTTGGGCTTTCCCCTTCAGCAGGGAAGAAAGAAGCACTGTTGTGTGCCCTCTGCTGTGCACTGTTTCCTGAGTGCAGCCAGCGAGTGTGAAGAGGGGTGAACCCCTTGCCTTGAAGCTGTGCCAGCATGGGCAGCCCCGATGAGTATGGGCAGACTCTGGAGAGGGAGGGATCCTGAGCCCATCCTGTTTGCCTGTGAGCCCAGGCAGGACCCTCAGGACCACTTGGGGGCAGGCATGGGCTGTGGGAAAGAAGTCAAAGCCAAGGGAGCAGCAGCTGAGATGGAGGCTGGGTCCCAGGGCCTGACCGAGATGGACACATCCCAGATGTTGCATCCAGGAAGGGCCAGCACCAGGTACCATCTCTGCTCATCTCCTCGGGGTTCCCAGGGCTGCTCATTCTCACCCAGTTCGCACAGTAGTAGGTGCAGACACTTGGCACCCTCTCTGTGATGGAGCACACCTCACAGGGTCTGTTCCCCAGGCCTGCGGCAGCACCTTCCTTTGGGCACACTCGCCCTGCACATTGGGGAGCAGGCCTGGGTGCCTCCCCTGTGCCCTCACCCCAGGGCCTGGTACTGCAGGGCCGTAATTAGGGTGCTGTGAGTGCTTGCCCAGGTGTGGCTGCTTCACAGGATGTCTGTGCATTGGTACTAACACAGTTTCATTCCATGCGTGTCTGGGTTTGGAAGACAGCTATGGGCCCTCCCGACAGACCTGCCTCTGCCCTTTCCCAGTCTTCTGCCCTCCCAGGCCCTGCACCATGGTTGTGTGAAAATCTCAGTACAGCATGGGCTTCAGTCTTGTCATGGGCTCTGAACAGAGACTATTTCTTTTCTCAATCCAGGAATGGAAATCTCAGAAAACCAGAAGAAGCTTGCCATGTTAAATGCTCAGAAGGCAGGGCAGGGAAAGTCAAAAGGTAAGTTTTGGGGACAGTCTCCTCTCTCTCTCTCTCTCTCTGACACTTCCCCACCACACACACACACACACACACACACACACACACACACACACACACACTTCCATGCAATGCTGGGGATTGACCTCAGAGAGTGCTGAGCTACAACCCTAGCCCTTTTTATTATTTTATTTTCAGACAGGGTCTCATAAACTAGCCTCCTCCTGCCTCAGCTTCCCAAATAGCTGTGTTACCATGCTTTGCAATTTCATAATTAATATTCATAAGCCTTTTTAATGACCTCTGCCCAGATTCAAAATGCCTACCCTAGTAAAACATTTTTGATTAAAGTCATCAAGGGCATTTGTCTAAGCAGTTTATATTAATTCATTTAGTTCTTGTAAAAGCTTGATATTGCTTTAGAGAGTAGGAAACTGAGGCACAGAGAAATCAAATAATTTCCCCAAGCAATCATAGCTAGTAGGTGGCAGAGCAGGCTTTGGACAGAGGCAGTTGGGGTACCCAACTTCGATTTAATTTTTCCCCTGACCACTGTCGTAATAGGTGATTCTCACAGTTCCTCAGGCTTTCATTGGCTTTCTCAGACAGTTTGGCTAACGATGCCTTCCCCAGAGAGTTTTGAGAGGATTCAGTGAGGTAATCTTTCAAGCTCCACGTGCAGTCTTAGTGTTTCTTACCATAACTACTGGATCTTCTTGTGACTGGCGTGAGTTAAGAAGCTGGGCATGGTGGTATGTGCCTATAATTCCAGTGTGATGGGAGGCTGAGGCAGGAGGATCACAAGTTCAATCCAACCTTGATCAACTTAGTGACTTATTGAGACCCTGTCTTAAAAAATAATTAAGGTCTGAGGGTGTGGGTCATGCAAAGATCCTGGGTTCATTCCCCAGTACCACACATACACACACACGCACATGTGCATACACATAAATATAAACTAAGAACTTGAGAGTCTTGGCACTTTGTTCCCTTCGTGGTTATGAAGCGTTCCATTTTCCCTTCTCCTGAACCAGGCTACAGCAGCTGCCCAGCGGCCCCTCTGCCCCAGGGCCTGCACCCCCTGCACCAGCGCCATGTCACCGTGCCCACCAGTGTCCCCCAGCAGCAGGTCTTTGCCCTGGCAGAGCCCAAGCGGAAGCCTTCACTCTTCTGGCACACTTTTCATAAACTCGCCCCTTTCCGGAAGTGAGCCCGCGGGTCATCTCCGACCAGTGGGAAAAGTGCGCCATTCTCATTTCTTCTGTGTGCAATCCCAGGACTGCCTTGGGCCCAGTTCTGAAAACTTTTAGGGAATCACTGAAGGAGAGATGACCCACTCTTCCGAGACCCAGCTACCCTCCCAGAAGGAGGAAGAGGTCAGGACACACCGCTCTGCTCATACCAGAACCCTGAGAGGCGCTTGTCAGCCCAAGTCATGCTGAACAGGGATCCTTGCGGTGACACACTCCTGCTGCAGTTCCAGAGTGCCTGGAGCCTTTCAGTCCCCGGTGAATTACCTACCAGATGGTCTCTTCCACGTGTGATTTTGGAGGACATTGTCCACAGAGGGTTGGCTTGATGCTGCCTCTCCTAACACACATCTGGTCACATCTATAAGGTGGGCTCGTACTCTGTTCTGTATCATTAGGGACCTACAGCTGCTGCGGAAACGGCCGTGGTGTCCTTGCTGTCATCTTGAGTGCACACAGTAGCTGAATGATAGCATAGGCTTCATCTTACAAGGTTCCTCTTCACAGGCTGGGCAAACAGTCATCTGGCAGTGTGACCTGCAGTGCAAAGGACCTCACACCTCCTCCAGAGTGCCCCGCCCCTGAGGCAGGGCAAGCTGGTGTTGTCCTTGTCATCCCTGCTGTGTACCTGGTATGGTTCCTCAGGCAGCAGTCACCTGTTCACCCATCATAACCTAAGGCATTGCCACTCACACAACTGTGATGTGTAAAAGCTTACTTCCTGTGTCATCGGAAGGCATTCTTAGAGCATCTTGTGCTCCTTCTTCTGTGGTTTCTCACATTCGTGTTGGCGGAGATACAAAGATGTGGACTTTTCTCAGAGGGATCAGAGGCATAGCGCAAGTCTGCTTTCCTGGGGATTTGAAGCCACCTTTGTCACATAACCCCTCAACAGTAGCACATGACCATGCCAGCATGCACGCAGTAGGTTTCTGAAGTCATTCTCTGTGAGAGACCTTGACGCAACTCCCAGACTCAGAGCAGTGTTGTGTAACGAAGGCCACACAGGCTGATACCCGAAGAAAATTCTCTCCTTTTCTTTGTCCATACTGTAAAGTTGGATTAAAATTTCTTCTTAACTGTGTCTAGAAAAGATAGGCTCTGCGTTTTACTCTACTCACTGCACTGGCTGGGGGACGCTGTGCTGCATGTTAGTGGACTGTTTGAGAAGTTCATTTTTGTATGTTATTCTTCACTTTTTTTTTTTTTTTTTTTGTACCAGGGATTGAACTCAGGACCTCCTTGCACTTGAGAGGAAGGTGGCAGCACCACTGAGCTAAAACCAGCCCTGCGTATGCTGTCCTTAACAGTGGTTTTTTGTTTTGTCTTGTTTTCAAATCATAGGCCCATGGTTAAGAATAAACAAGTATAACAATATCGGAGACAAAAGTGTTGACTCCGAGGGTGTGCTTCCTGGGGTCTCCTCATCCCCTTTCCCCCGAATCCAGAGCTGTTGCTGAAGGAAATGATATCACACATTAAGAAAACATAATCCTGGACCTCTCGTAGGGCATTATGTGACCATTCAGGACCCTGCAAGCTGCTGAGCTTTCTTATAGTAGTTTTGCTGGCAGGGTGCATGGCCTGTGGTGAACAGCTCCTGGGATGCCTCTCTGGACTTTCCCACTACAGGTCCTAAGACAGAGACAAAAGTGGTGCTGTAGTTTGTGTGTGCGCGCGCGTGTGTGTGTGTGCCTGTGCCTGTGTGTGTGCGGTGTGTGTTTCAGTTGCATTTATATAACTGACATTTTTACTAACAAAATGTAATGATATATTTTGGAAACTACTTAACATGCTTTTCAGTGCTAAATAGACTTGTTCGTATGTACAGTAATTTAGAACTGTTTAGTTGTTTTTAGTGTAGTATAAGAAATTTTCTTTAAAGGAGTAAAGAGAATCATTTGTTTATGTTACATTTGCAGTGTGGATTCAACTCCATTAATGAGTCATTCATAGAGCTTCTATTTGCTATTATTGACCAATGAATAATGAAAAAATGCTTTAAGTTTTGTGACAAGTCCTAATCTATTTTTCAGCTGATCCCTTACTTCCAGTTCCCACCTACCTCCGTGGACTTCCTAACAGAGAATCAAACACACAGACATGTTTTTATTAAGCTCAGTTGAAGACCTGGATTGCTCCAGGCCAGTTTATCAAAGTTCCTTCTTAATTTAAGTCACATTTTCCACTTGAAGCAACAAAAGAACCTTCTACCTGGATTATGTGTGAATTTCATTGGGAATTGCTACCCTGTCCTCTTGTGGGCCAAACAAAAAGATGATGCAACATTTTGATGAATTTTATTTGTTCTTTAATTTTTCAGATTTTGCCAACTCTGTTGAGATAGTTGGAATGGCCTTGGGTCAAAAGCCGCCATCTCAATTTTGATCATAATCTAAAATGTATATCAACTATGTAGTAGGCTTTATGCAATCATAACAATAATTGAAAAATGCTAGCAAAGTAACATTCTTTGTTCCTGACCACTAGAAAGAGGGTGGCAAACAATTTGCCAGAGCTTTCATGGGATACTGTTGACATAATTTGTTTTCATTAGGTCTGATTTTTGTTTCTGCTGGTAGATTGGACTCTGTATTTGAAAAGATGCCACCACCATCTAAAGCCATTTGTAAATATTGTGCTTTTTTATACTCAGTCCAGTGGAAGGTTATATGTCACACTGTAATTTGGTGTTGTCTTTACATAAAGCAAATGTACACTTAATTCAGAATTCAATTCATAATAGAAATCTTCTGTAAAAAGGTGCCAAGTGATCCAGCAACTTGCCAGGTAGAAATCTCTGCAGGCTTGAATTACTGACATTCCTCAGTACAAGTCAGCTGTGTTTCCTCAACAGAATAAAGCATCCTGATTACCCAGAGCTGTGGGAGAGGAGACAGATGTCCCTCGGGACAGTGTCAACTTCAAGTATGCACAAATGTCTCCTTGATGGTTTGCGTGCTAGCTGTGACTTCTGGGTTAAGTATCTAGCAAACAGTTTTCCATATACTATACTTTAATAGCTCTCTGTTAAAACCTACTTGGCCAATGCTGTTTGTTTTCAGAATGTAATGGACTTGAAGTTCAAAGACTGGAAAAAAATAAGTGGAAACTTTCTTCTAGCTGGCCTTGGAGGGGGAAAAAAACCCAGAAGTTTATGTATTTTATGTCAACTTATTTAGCTCCAACATACTTTTCACTGCTGCTTTTAGTCAGCTCGTAGGCATTAACATTTGTAGTTAGAAAATATTTTGAATGATTCTGTAATTTAATAATCGTTCTTTTCTGGGGGGTACATATTAGCATCCAGTGTGGTTTCTTAATCTACCTTGCAAGGCTTTTAGTAACCTTTCAACTTGTCCACATAAAGTTGATGTCATCTGCGTAAATCAGGTGATACTTCTGAACTTGGCTTTATCAGCTGAAGTATGGTCCATAAGATTGTTGTAACTTCATATGTATTTTTATTGAATGCTTTTTTTGTAAAAAAAAATTATTTACAATGTTATTTGAATGATTTCTTGTAAATGCTGTGAATCTGTGTTTGTTTTGTATCTGAATATTAAAATTAATTTGCCAATTAATTTCTAGTAATGCATTTGAATAGTTTTTAAAAAAGACATTATAAAGAAAGACGAGCCTGGAGTGTAAGGAGTCCCTCAAATTTGCAGGTCCTTTCCCATCCTGACCTTGACAGACTTATTCAGAGCCAGACCAGTCTCTGTCTGTGTGGGAGAAGGTCAGCACAGAGCTGAGAGGGGCCACTGGACCAGAAAGTCTCCAGGTTAATGGAATGAGACTGATGTGAGCAGAACTGGGAAGTAGGAAGCCTTGTTTGTTTTTAGTTCCTGGGATTGGGAGTTGTTTTGTTTTTGTTTTGTGTTCTAGGGATTGAACCAAGGGCCTCTCTTATGCCAAGTTTATACTCTACCACTGACTCCAGCTCCAGCCCCGAAATTCCTAGTTTATAGTAGCAGCTGTTACCAGTGATGAGGATGGGTGGGTGACCAGAAGATGCCCTTGTGCCCTTAACCTTTGGGCGTGGGTTTGATAAGAATTTCCTTCTCTTATTAACGGCTCAGAAAACCCAAGTAAATAGCCCATTGTTTGTTGTGACTAATCAGAAAAGAGTTTCTGGGAAAGGTTGCCAAGGCTACCTCTGGCTTTTCATTTGTTTACTCCTAACCTGCACCCACTCCCAGAGTGATCTGCTGATCCTCCTTGGGCTGGGTGAGGGAGGCTCTGCTTAGGAAGGGAGGTAGATGACTACACACCAAAGCTAACATGGCCAAGATGATGCCATACGCAGAAATTAAGATCACAGGAGGGCAGCGGCACCTTCTAGAAGAGTTGAGAGATGCACTAAAGGTATCAGGTGCCTCACTGCATGCTAGAAAAGCCAAGGTTAATCTGTGAACCCTCCACACATTTTATGTGTGGTCAAAGAGAAAGACAAACATAATGGTACTACAGAATTTAGGCAACACCAGAGCTGTGCAGCAGTACACAACAACTTTAGAGAAAAGTCCCTTTGCCTGGTGAGTATCTGGGCCAGTGGGGCTTCACAGGGACCTGGGATCCTAGGAGGATGAGTCCACAGCCAAACTAAGCAGGGTCAGAGTTGGGATTGCATTATCTCCAGGTGGCTGGAAATGAAATGTGACAAAATGCATGAGGCCCAGGAATGGTGAGCAGAAGAAGCTCATGTGGCCTGTGGTGGCACTTGGGATTTCCTAATGTGACCAAAGTGATAGAGGTGAGCTGCAGCTGAAATTGGCTCTTTAGGAGCTGGCCAGGGGGCATTAGAGAGGGAAAGTAATGGTTTGGGAGCTGTTCCTGGACAGGAGAACAAGACAGGAGAGTGGGAGGCTACTCAGCAATCCTGGCGAGTCTCGGGGGCAAGGCTGGGGAAGAAGCTGGTGACCACATCCTATTGTGGCACAGTGGATGGGTGGGAGTGCCAAAACCAAATGGAGAAGGGTGGCGTGCTGAGACTGGTAACTGGCCTAGCTGGTAGGTGACTATAGCATGGAGCTCCAGAGAGAGGTCAGGGCTGGAAATACAGGGTTGAGAAACCTTCAGGGACCAACTGGAAGCAGTGAGAGCAGAGGAGCCACAGCAGCTGGTGCCAGGTGGCCCCGAGGATAGTGACCAGAAGGGTGTCTTGGATAGCTGGCACGTGCTGCTGGGAACACACTGCACAAAGGGAGCTAGAGAAACACATCTCAGCCTAATGTATGAGTCAGTCCAGCAGCACCTGGGAAGCTGGTGTTGGTTTGCCTGCTGTACCGGTGGGTACATGGAGGCCTTAGGAGATAGGGTTGGGGTTGTGGCTTGGCTAAAGTGAGGCCTGATTGGCACCCCCTCCCCTGACACCCCACTTTCCATGTGGCCTGTGCAATTGAGCCCCTGTATCTTCTAGAAAGAATTGGGTTCCTTTGTCCTCCTGATACCAAGTTTTAGGCAAATGTTAGTAGATGCTCATCATGAAAAGTTAATGACTCCTGACATCCAGGAGAGTTGCACCATGTTTTCTCAGTGGCAGGATGTGCATGTGTCTGAACCCTAGCCCACACAGGTGCCCAAGTCCAAAGGATTTACACAGACATTTGAGACATCTAATCAAATGGTAGTAATCTTGACCCAGGATCCAAATGAGACCTGGAAATAGTGACGTAGGAATGCATTGCTCTACCCCAAGTTCCCTCATTTTATTAAAAAAGAACAGAAAAAGCAAAAGTGTCTGTACTACATGTTGCTGGTAGAAGATGTCTACCTGTCTCAAGTGTCGCTATAATTTTTGAAGCTCTTCCAAGACATCTATGCCTTCCCTGTTCCCTCCCCTTCCTGCTATTTTGTAGTTGTATCCATGAGGGAATTGTAGGGCAGGAAGGCATGATTTTTAGTTTGCCCTATTCCTAGTTTGCACAGCACTGGGTTCCAGCTAGCAGTCCTGGGGTTCAGGTAAGTGCATTGGGAAAAGATTTCTTTACATTCACCTAATGTATCTGGTTTCTAACACAGCTCTTACAATGTCAGTATGGGATAATCTCTCTTCCTTAAATAATCAGATGTCTTGAATCATTTGGGTAGGAAAAGGAGTACGTTTCTTCCAAAATTTATTCTTGAGGAAGAGGCTGAACAGGAGAGAAACAAATTTGGCATTGTTTTGCAAAAACTGCAAACCAGGTGGGAGGAGGGATAAAACCCATATACTAAATCCCAAGAATACAGACCTTGTAGAGAGCTTTCTAAAGATTATGTTATTTTGCACAAATTTCAATGTGTACATTTTGATGCTTTTGACTGTGCTAACTGGTACAGTGAAATAAGTCTCATTATATGTTGAAGAAATACACAAAGTACACAATGCATAAAGCACTTGGGATGCTTAAGCTCAGAGATACTAGATTCTGAAGCTGCCCACATGGAAGAAGAGGTTACTTTATCCCTGACACTACCCACAAGGAAGCTGAGCTGGTTTATGGTAGATCTGTATTAAATGTTAGTAGTTGGGGGAAGGAGGAATCTTGAAGAGTGGAAATCCTTAACTATGGCTGTGATAAGAGAAAATCAGAGGGGCACTGGTGAACCTTTATCAAAAGATTGAATAAAGACAGAGAAATATATGTAAAGTGTGGAAAAATCAATCCAGAAGAGGCTAACTAAAATTCTTTATCTGGGACTAAAAACCAATAACTCTCAAGTCGTTCTCGGGAGACCACAGCAATCAGCAGTGTGGGTGAATCTGGTCTGCACTCATATTGATCAGCTCATCTGTGCAAGGCAGTGCCCACCCAAGAGACTGTTTGAGTCCCCAGCCACCCTGCCCTGGGGCTGGCTGACTGCAGGAGTCCACAGGTCTTCTACACTTCTGATTGGAGGCCACACCTGTGGACAGCAAGTGCCTTATATTACTCAAGACATGGGCTCAGTTTTGTGTCACCAAGTCCCCAAGTAGCAGAATTTAAAACAAGTTGGAGGTATGTGTGTCTCATGCTTTCCCATCAAAGCTGGGCTAGTAGAATAAGACTGGTCTGGGGTTATCCAAGAACAGGATTTATTCTCCATAAAGTGTTACCCTCTTTGAGTAGTCCACAATGGTGGCCCTCCCGGTCACAGGAAAAGAGGAAGGGCCTTGAGGAGGGCACACCCTTCCCTTTAGGTCCAGTCTATAATAGCACACATTTTTCATTTCCTTGGGCCAAAATCTAGCTCTGTAGTCATAGCTACACTGCAAAGGAGGCTGGGAATCGTCGTCTATTGTGTGCAGTCAGGTACTCTGCTAAAAAAGTTGCTCTTACTTGGATGAAGGGGAGAAAAGTCTTGAAGATAACCAGCAATCTCCACCAAAAGACTGACAAGGATCCTATTTGAGCAGATTTATCACCTCCCCAAAGGATGCACAACTTGAACTAGGACACTGTTATAGTCATTCAACAAATATCTAACTATAAAGTACTAAAAATAGGGAGTAGAAAGATGGGGTGTTAGAGCTTCATAAATCTCTACCCAGGCTTAGGTGTTTCTGAAGTGATCACCAGTCTAAGAAAGATGTGCAGACCAAGAGTCTGGTGGCAGTAATCCAAGTAAGAAGAAAGATGGGTGGGGCAGGGCGTTGCTACTCACCAGGAAAAATGAGGGACTTAGAAGAGGTCCTAGCCTTAGCAAGTTGACATAGGAATTCAATGTTGAGGGCAACCACTGTGATTGAAAGAATGAAACTGAGCATTCAGCTTATAGCTTTGGTCAGTTTTGCTTTCTCAAAATAATCTGAATAGAGTTCCTGTTATATTCCTTGTGCACACCCTCCAATTTTTACAGAAAAATGCAAATCCTTTTCTAAATGTTATTACAGATAGTACTACAGCATTTTTCACTGTTGCTTTGGGAGCAAAGTGTGTTCAATGAAAATCATTTGCTGAAGGTTGTCTATGTGTTAAGTACAGGACATAAGCAAGGTAGACATTCTGCCTACATCAAGTACACAAAAGTAGTGAAAGAGTTACAGAAGGATACATACATTAGTTAGCTCTTTGCTAGCTGGAAAACAAGATGGAGTTTATCCAAACTTGACACCTTTATGGTTTTGTGATCTTTGCATCATTGAAATAACTTGCATTGTACATTTTGAAAAGGTAAAAGGGGGGCTGGGGATTTAGCTCAGTGGCACCACACCTTCCTTGCAAGTGCAATGTCCTGAGTTCCATCACCGGTACCAAAAAAAAAAAAAAAAAAAAAAAAAAA